TGAAATTCCAAAACCCCCATTACAGTCCGGACACTATCTATAAGCTCTTGGTGTAGGGATCTATGGACAGTTTTTAAAAGTCAAGGAATAGGCCTTTGCTGGGTCATGAGTGTCGGTGGCCGACCGATTTTTGCGAAGTCCCAAAAGACTAACGTTAGGCAGACGAATTGCTTTAGCTAATAAAAGTAGCATTTGATGGTAGGAAGGCGTTTGTAAAGAAAACCAAGGCCGTTGGCTTACTACGCGAGCAATACCTCAGCTGATACGACTGTCATGATCTGGCAGACTGCTTTACTGTGGATTTTCCAATCTTATATTATTCAAGAATTTGCATCAGAGAAAGGAACACGCGATAGTTCTTCCTTTTCAGTGAGCAGGCGTCCAGGGCTGCCGAACTCTCTTCTATGGGAGGTTTGATGCCTCCTTTCCCCGATGCTGTTCTTACTATGGAGCGCACAATCACAGTCAAAGGCCCAAGTATCGAAGTAGTAAGTTCGCCTTGTATTATTCGCAACTTACCTATTTGCTTCACTTTTGTGAGATCACAGTGAAGGAGATTGCAGGTATCAGCTGCCGAACAGAGGATCTCCGCTAGGTTGCGACAAAGTTACGAGACTGATCTCCAGCATCGGGTTAGTTGGTCGCAGGTTTAGTGGTGCAAGATGTGAATTGGGCTTCTCGAATCGTACTCTTGATTTGTGACTTGTTATAAGCGCCTTTAACCGCACCTACATGACGGTACTGTTTTTTCCTGTCACTTTCGAAAATTCTTCAAATCGCCAGCCGCTGTACACTACAGCATTGTTCTTTTGTATTACTTAGAAAGACTCTTACAAGCGGCGCAAATGTACACTTAGAATTTATGATTCCTCCAAGTATGGAGTACAGGGCAAATTTGGGCTTTTTGGTAGTGAATTCAGTAATAATACTAGTCAAACTGACTTATTTGCTGGCTAGAAAATTACAAAGTAGTCGAAGAAAACAGGAAAATCAGTTGTGACCAGTATCAGTAGAAAGGTCCTCATCTTACCTGATATCATCACTTTCAGATGTCATTCCCCGGTATTCCTACTATGCCGGGCATGATTCATCCAATCGGAGATGCCTACGCCGCCCTAGCTGCGTCCACCATGAGGCCCATGGGTCCAATGTGTGGGATTGGGGGACGCGCGGATGTTTCAAAGACCACTCGGATGTGGGTCCCGAATTCAATGGTTGGAGCAATCATAGGAAGCAAGGTATTTATTTCATATCAAACATCAGATGGGCCGTCGTGTTTCGAAAGGGAAGAAAACAGAAATCTGTTAATACCCCTGGAAAATCGCAGTGACATGTTAGGCTGAGCATATCTCACGCGATTTCAGTCGCGACCGACTTGGCGATACTCCAGTTGTGCATAACTCATCGTAAGGGGTTTCAAAATGTGGGAAGATAAAGCATTTTATCAACCTACGAATGTCATGCATGCTGTGCATTTGGGATCTGCCAGTATTGAATTTGC